CCACAAATTTGACCAATTAGGTCAAAAGTGAAGAAATTATAGTTGCACTGATTCATCGGCCGGCCTAGAAGAAAGCTTTCAAAACTGCACACTAAACTTTCTCAGCCTCAAAGTCTCAGTATGGTGTTGCCTACATTGTAAAAAAAGCCCCCACAAAATTTGGCTACATTATGTCACTGAAGCTGGCTCTGGGATTTAAAATCTGATCTTGCTTGTATTAAAGTCATGCGACTCCATCGTTGCACTAACTCTTAGCTCATGTGTTTTAAGATTTTACTCTATCATTCAGACAGTTGGAAAAGATTCTAGAGTTTAATTCAATGGTTGGATCAAAGAGCAGATACCCATATATTTGGTGTGCTCCCATCCATCCAAATGAGCGCAGCTGAAATATCTGACAAACAGGAAGTGGAAAGATCCAGACAAAAATTGTTTTAGAGCAGAAAGCTATCAGCCTGGCAAATCTAAATGGTCATTTTTAGGTTATTTTGTGTTGTTAAGGACCACCTGTGTTAGTGTTTAAAATATAATCCTTATGTATGTAAATTATGCAAAAACACTCAGTTCACCTAAACTACTACTTCTACTATAGTGCAATACATGATTCTGGAGAATTTTGCCTTTTTGTCTATTGGAAAGGTTGCAGACCACCAAAGATTTTGGTGGGAAACTTGAAAAATGTCCTTATATGGTTAAGGAAAATGTCTGATTCATTTTTTAAGAAATCAACTTTTTGTTACAGAAACCCTTCTTGTACATTTTCTTCTTATCTGTGGAACAACGCAAAAAGAAAGTAAAAGTAAAAAAAAAAAAAAACCTAACTAAAGTTCTGCATTCTAATATTCAGAGCAGTAGATAAATTAAAACACAAATCAAATCCAAATAGAAGGACTGGGATGGGACTCCTATTTAAAGTCAGTTACAAGGAAGATTTAAAAAACTGCAACTTTGTTCAGGTTTTCTACTTTTTTATTTGTATTTTATTTTGGTCTTTTTTGGATGAGCAAAAAATATAGTATTTATTATTTTTGGTCATTATGGACAGTATTTTAGGTATTTTTGATCATTTTGTATGTGGTACGGTCTGTCATTTTGGGTGACTATAATAAACAGTATGTGGTATTTTTGGTCATCATCCTATTTTTTGGTATATTTTAGGATAAGTGATTACACGACAGACTGGTATAAAATCACTGCAAAAGTTTAGTTCAGATATTTTTTGCTTTTGAAGAATACATAAATGTTTGTTGRTGGTTCTGGAGGCAGGAACTGAATGCTGGTCCTTCACCTCTAAKAACTTCAGGTCCTGCTGTGAGTCCACTCAACAATCACAGACGTTCTAAAAGCACTTTTAACTTTCATTTTTGATGAAAAACTTAGAAAACTGGTGAAGGTATAAAATTTGATCCAACATCTTATGAACWTCAACATGTGCTTCCAGTGACAGTTGGAAACAGAGGTATGAAAGGTTGATCTGGAAGATTTTTACTTTTATTTTTCTGAATCAGTCCTAAAGTTCAGTTTGACTGCTGCTGGTTGAATATAAATAGTTTGAAGATCATCAGGGCCCCGTTTCATACAGCAGCTTAACAAACCCTGGGTTAACGCAGATACTCTGAGTCAACTTACCCCGCTCTGTGATACTCAGRATTTTTGGTTTCAGAACAGGTGATATCAACTGGATAACTTAACTCTGAGTCAAGTTACCCTGAGTTAAGTTGGAGCAGGAAGCCCTCAGATATGATTCACCATGGCAGTGGGAGAAAATAAGAAGGCAGTCCATTTCTCATGCTGGAACTAGAAATATTAAT